AATATAAAAATAAGATTCATATTTTATAATTTTACTTTATGAACTTTTTTTTTGCCAGTTTCGTCAACTTCGTAATCTTCTTCATTCATCCATTCATTATAAGTATCTAAATCCAAGACCCAAGATGCTGTGACCTAAAATAATATAAATATTTATTAATCTATAAATAATTTGGTCTCAAGGACTATTGTTAAGCATATTTAAGTTTAATAAAATTTGCGCCACCTTGGGATAACAATACACAATTCTACTTTAATAGCAACAAATATAATAATATTAGAAATCATATAAAACATATTAGGACAATCTACAATTATAATTTCCTGTCACACACCTATTAAAAATCAGCACTAATTCAACATATACTAATTAAAAAGAAAAAAAGAAATTTTAATATTTAATAATTTACCCTCCAAGGAGTAGGATGTTGACTGCCATATAATACTTCAGGAGGTTCAACTGGTAATTCAGTTGTCACCCATGAATCATGAGAATCAGGAAAATAATACCAGTGCATTTGTATCCAGCGTTCTTTATTTTTGTACACGGGTCGAGCATATTCTTCATCTAATGGATCCACAATCGGAAATAAGACATGGGTAGCTTCTTGTTCGTTTTCTAAAAAAATTTAAAGAATAGTTAATTTAATATAAAATGATTAATGAGCTTTGTAAATATACCAGTCAGTGTTCCTTGATGTCTTTTGATAATATCCTTTATGCGGTTTTGCACTATTTTATCAACATCTGGATGAATAAGTATAACTGGCATAGATAGACATTTAGCATGAATTAAAGCCTTTTCAACGTTCATAAACATTTCAATACTTCTATCCATTCTAGAAGGACTCTGTGAATAAACCAGAACAACTTTTATGATTAAGGAAAAATTAATTTACTTTGATAAATAAATTTAAACTTGTTTAACATTCAATATATATAACAATTTCTATGAAGGATACTAATTTTTTAAAGTAAAATTGCAACTAATTGGATTCAAAAAGTTTTGTGATTTATAAGAAAAAAAATATATATTATGTAGCTATTTAATATAGAAAATAATATACCAATATCTTAAATTTATAAAACAGTGTTTACGAGAATGTGAATTTCAGTATACTTCATATAAGTTACACATATTTAATTTTAAGTATAATATAGTTAAGACAAAGTAATAAACATGTACAGTACTTTAAGATATTTTGTAATATCAGCAGTGTTTAATGATATAATAATAATAAGGTTGATCATAAGTAAAAGAGAATTTAAAATGTTGATTTAGTTGTAAATACAATAGTTTTTAAATCAATAATATCAAATATATATTGGACTAGTCCACAATGTCTTAAGAGTTAAGACTTTTAAGTTCTGTACATTATTATTCATAGTTTAAAATATTTATAAGTATTTTCCCTAATATGTTTAATAACTGAATTAGTATAAGAATGTAGAAGAAAAATATTAGTTCACATGAACAAGCACACAAATGTTGTTAAAACTATTTCTATATACACCAAAATATTTGTAATTTTAAACATATAAAGCAGTTCTTAGTCCCAATTAAACGTATAATACACATGAATTTTTATTAAATTTATTATTTGCTTGCAAGTAGTGCACTGTAAAAAAATCTATTATTTTATACTCCACATAGATTTTGAAATAGTTGATAACATATTTTTTTAGAGTAAATTTTATATTTAGGTGATATTATAACAATGCATTATTTTAAAATATAATTATGAAAATAAATTTAAGCCACAGTAAAGTATTAAAATGGATATAAATAGAAAATAACTAAACTGTTATGTATTGATCGAAATTTTTTATCACAATATAGAGACTACATTAGATACCAAATATAATTTTGTAACTATCAGAAAATTTAAAAAAAAGTATAGTTCTGATAATATAAAATATTAATTTATTTTATTCAATGACCCACAAATAAAATATAGGCTTATAATAGCAAGTGTTATATCACTTACATGCCTTATAACAGAATCATGCGTAAAAAGCCATTTGATTTCCAGGCGTATAGCTTAAAATATTTACATAGAATATACATCAAATTCATTTTTGTCAAGGGTTTTAGGTGTATAATATACCTATTTATTCAATGATTATAATATTAGATATTTTATGCAGACAATAAATTATTTTGAGAAGTCTACCTATATAATTTATGTTAAAAAAATATTGTTGACCAATAGTATCAATAATGTTAGTGCTAAAAATATTAGGTTATTACTGTAAGTAAAATTAAAAATCTAATACATATGAATATCTGATACTTAAGAGAACATAATTATCGCATGTGTTGTTTCCATCTGAATAAAGCATACCATACCAAATTTAAAGTTCAGATGAATCCAATTTACCTACTGTTGTATTTAATAATAGAGTGAATTGACCTATTATAAATGTAAAGGTGAAAATATAATTAATGTAGGTTTATATTTTCATTTAGAAGCAAGTTATAATCATTTTTTAATTTATGAATTTAAAAATGCTCATAACTTGTTTTAAAATTAAAATATCAAAAAAACACGTAACCTTGGATAATATGAGGTCAATTTGCTGTAATATTTAAAACAGTGGAAAAAAAAAATGGATTCTTATAAACATGAAATTTGCTATGTTAAGCGTTAGTAATTAGTGTCACTACACGCGAAAACCACACATTCTTCATTTAATAACAGTATTTGCTAATCTATGTGGTATATTAGTTTCATACAAGACATATGTAACACTATGGAAGGCTTTTTAGTTTTTTCAAAATAGCAACCAATGTGTAACATTGATTATAAAAAATTGACTAGGTTTTAGAAGTTGACAATATATAACTAGGTAGACCCAAGTTAATTGGTGAATAACATATAAAAAAATATTTTTTTATGATAGTTTCAGTAAAACCTTACAATTTGGCATTTAAAATAAAAAACACAACTTATGAGATTGCATAATATTGTCTACCCCAAATGTAAACATGTACTCAATAAATATAGAACTTAGGTACATTAACTGTATATAATTATTGGTAAACTACTACATTGTTAATCTACATATACAAAAAAGTACTTGAGTAGTTTGTGTTACTTGTATAATCCATTGATGTACATATTGCAAAGGATTAGGACATTATCTTATAGGAACAAGGATAGACAGGTGCAGAAAGTGCGTGCTCGGCATGTAATTAAATTTGTGGTCACCACAGAAAAAGCACACAACACGGGCAACATGAACAAATTTCGTACACATATTATAATACCAATAATAATAAATTGGAGACGAGCTATAGCAATACAAATTGACAGCGTGGGATTATAACAACAGGTCAGGCGTGCACGTCCGATTAGTGGTTAGTGGTGAGGTGAAATGAAGGCTCGTCTCGCCAAATCATACCTTACTGACCTGGAAATCGAATCTTCGCCACCCCTGTTCCACCTTAAACTTGTACACGGTAGCTAGCAAATGGCACAGAGCACCTCCGGGTTTGAAGTCCATAAAACAGCGCATCTACAACGGAATGGTGATAACAATCGGTAAATTCAAAAACAATGATGCGTTACACATGAGCATATCCAAAGAGAAGACCTCAATGATGTTTTGTTCGTCAAAATAACTTACAGGCAAGCGAGTGAGTGGTGGTTTGCTGACATTTTTACCGAGATTGTCTTCCTGGAACTGAATGAGCTGCAACACCAGGGCTGCAAGTGTCTTGTTGGTTGGCGGATCAGCTTGAAGGTACTGAACGAGAAACAAAACAAAACCGTTACAACATCCACGTATAATAGCGAACACCAAATGACCAGGACCGTCCAAACTCAGATTGGTCCCATGTCGACAAACGAAAGTGTACGTACCTTTTTATGATTTTTCATTAGCCACGTCCTAACGCCCTCCAACATGTTCAGCGTTTCGGGAGATTCGAAAAACTTCACGTTCGGACTGCCGTCCTTCTTCGGACCCAAGGCCAACATTGTAGCGTCGAGTGGCGGACGATCGGACAACAAATCAGGGCCGGTTTGTCGACAAACTCAAAAACGAGCTTTCGGCAAAACTTCGGGCGACTATATCTAATTCCTCGGGACCCGGTGAACACGACAAGCGAGAAACAATAACAAAAAACGTCGATAATAAATATGGCCGAATTGTTTGGATTTTGTGTACAGGGCTGACGGAAAGCCAACAAAAAGTTACCAGGCACCTACTTTCAGAATTAGGAAATATTATTTTAATTCTTTTGTTTTGTAGTCGTTATTGTATTATTGATTTATTTAACATTGCCTGCAATGCATCCCGTTGCGTTAAAAAAATAATTCATAATAATTACCAATTAATCCAATGAGGATTTTCACAGTTTTCAATTACATCTACCGGCACGGTGGATTGATATGTGTTGGCACGACTGCGTCGGTAAAAATACTGATTTCCCGCGATTTTTGTTTACTTCCTTAGTCGGTACGACGGTATAATTCCGTAAAACACTGCCAATAGGTATAATAGTAATATTATATTACATTTTTAGTTATACAGTAATACAGTATACTGTATACTTATTGTTAGTCCATTGTCACGTTATCACTTCGTCGCGGCGCTCCTCTGTGTTTCGAATAATTTTTTCAACTATTTTATTGAAAAGCGATAATTAATATTGTACGATCATACTCCGTCAAAGGCGCAAAGTGTACGACTGTATAGTTCATTTGTCGTGGTTTCTTTTGTGCAGGCGCCAGGCGGTCCGAGTCCAACTTGTGTTGTTCGTAAGTCGTTATTCTCGATCGTTGGGCTGAAAGGCGGCAGATTTTATACACGCCTATAGTGTAAAATCGCCACTTCACATATTATTATAATATCGTCAATCGTTACAACACTACACTGTTATAATAATATACAATCGGCTATCACGCGCTATCGTTGCAGTTGACCTCTGTCCTCCGACTATTATTTATTCCGATCGTCGACCTTCCGCGCGACTTGTTCCATAACAACACCGCGATGGCCGGCGTGGATCGGAAACTAAAATCCACTGTCACCGACCTGTCCGGCAAGAGTTGGGCCGAACTCTGCGACAGCTCGCAATCGTCTCAGTCGCAGACCGACATCGATTCGCCACTAAAGCTCGGTGGCGAGGCGAGCTCGAAGAATCGCGATGACGATGACGAGCTGTACGACTTGGTTTTCAAGCCGGTCAAAAAGGAGTTTGTCAAAGCCTCGACCCAGGACGACCTCAGTCTGACCTCCTTCATGAACAATGTACACATGGTGACGCCGGTCAAACAGGAATACAACGACAAGACGCTGGCGTTCGACGAAGACACCATTTGTAGCCCGTTTGTAAAGCAAAAGTTTAATGATACACCAGACATCAAACCCAAAGTGGAAGTGATTTGTAAGGAGGAAAATCTCAAGGAGGAAAAGAAGGATTTACAGCACGCAAAGAGAAGATTGACTTCTGAGTCCGTGGTAACTGATCCTGTGTCACCTGAGCGAGTCAACAAAGTTAACAAAAAGTCCACTGAGCATAAAAGTATACATGACACTGTAGAAAGCCCCAAGTATGAATGTATTTTTGTTAAATAAATTAATGAGATAAATTAACCTATTAGTTATTGGAATGTTTTTATAATCTGGCAGAGTCACCTTTTCAATATTCATAAGTACATTGAAAAGTACCCAATTAGTGCAATTATGCATATTTCAATGTTTTAACTTTTTAAACAATTTATGTCCGTACGCATAGTCAATTTATGTGCCAGATAGTTTTAATATGTCTTATGTGATATATAAATTGACTATGCTTTCAGGCATGAATATATTCAATATTATTGTAGTGATTATATTATATTTATATTATTTTTATTATATTATATATTTTATTTTTATAGAGTAAAATTGGGACGTGAAACTGACCCATTAATTTTAGCAAGAAGACAAAAACAAATAGATTTTGGTAGAAATACTATTGGATACGTAAAGTATCTGGAACAAGTTCCTAAGTATGCATTTTATATTTTTTATAAATAAATAAATAAATTATGATTATTGTTATTTTCTAGACATGAACGTAAAAAGAGGCATCCTAAAACTCCTCCAAAAAATTTGAAATATACTAGACGAGCCTGGGATGGATTAATTAAAAACTGGAGAGTTAAGTTACATTTATTTGATCCTGATAGGAGACATGATGATGATGATGCCCTGACCACTGGTTCAAGTTCTAATTTGTATTCGTAAGTATATGAAAATAGAAAAATATGTGAATTACCTTTATATATATGTATTGCAAACATTGAACGGAAAGGTTGTACACTTGTCAGTTTAATACTTAGTGTTGTATAGGTTAATGATACATTTAGGGGTAGGATTTTAATGACCCAAAAAACATCATCAGATATTTGCATTTATCATGTACCTAACTGTAGCATCAACCTTTAATCAATTCGCTCACTTAGAGTGATAATTCACAATGTCAATATCAGAAACTTTACTGATGGGGTACTTAACACATTCACTGCGTCAAATAATTAGTTGGGACACGTTAGATGCGTCACAAAATATATCGATGTTCACTAGGAGCGTGCCACCAATTCGGACATTTTAATTAGTGTCAGAAAAATCAACAAAATAAGTTATTTATAAATGGATTGGACTGAAATAACAAGAAATTTCTATGCAGAGGCGAGTGTAAAAAAAAAACATTACTCTAGTGCGTTTCTATTTTATAGCACATTTAATTCAACGGACCTGATGTCGGCTATATCCGACAGACGCACCGTGAAAAAACCAATTCTTCGGATATAGCCGACAAACGCAACGAATGTGTTAGTTGATATTTTATGACCAAAAATTATTTTTTGTAAAATAACATTTTACAAATACAATGTTACCCAATTATGTACCAAATTTTAAATTGATAAAATTAACAAAGGGTATTAAATGTATAATATTGATGCATTTAAAAAATAGCGTTATTTATATAATAATGCTTACTTAAATAGATCAAGTTGTTGAAAGTATTGGCATATTACTATAATTAATTAAATACAATTTTGGTATTTTTACGAGAGAGGCGAGAGCCCTCCGTACCGCTACTATTGACCCACATTGATACCACACACTTTAATAATCATTTACGACTAACACATAGATCTTGCAGAAATTGACATATAGAAACATAGATAACACATAAAAATTGACTAAAAGTTGCTCCTTAAATCAATGCTATAGCGAGGCCTCTTAAGGGGACTGCATTTATTTTTCATACGTTTTAGACCAATAAGCGGTGGTAAATTACACATATTTCGGAATGTCAGATTTAAATTTTTTATACACCTTTGAATTCATTGATAAAATATCTAGGTTTCTTAGGAAGTCGATTTTCAATTTTCAATTTAAAATGATCTTAAAATAACCAATTTTTTTTTTAGAAATCCCATGAAATTACATTAATATTTATTTTGGGCACATCTGATTTTAAACAAAAAAAGTAATTCTAAGAAGCATGGTCTAGAAGTTTATAAATTCAACCATTTTTTCGAAATTACAATCAAACTTTGGGAAGTATGATTAATTTACTACCGCTTTTAGTAGTTTTATAGTCATGCGAATATATTATTTCAATTATTGACATGTGCGTGCGCGTGTGAGAGTTGCTTCCGGCGCGGTTGCTCGACTCGACGTGCATCGATTCTCGGAAATGATTACGGATTACGCACACTAATGTTCATTTCCTACTCACACATAGATACAGTATTAATTTATATGTCACACGAATTGCCAAAATAGTACTCCTTAAAATATGCTACGTTGCAGCCCCTTAATTTAATAAGTTACCGAACTATTAATTTTATTTAACAGCCTTTTTCAACTTAAATTATTATATTATAAAATTAGAACTGAATAATTATAATCTTTCAAGATAAAATGTACTCTGCAATGCTGTTATGTTTATTTATTTTTTTATTGGTCTTGAGCCCGGAAACTGTGGCCATTGCCTATTGTAGGGATTACGGTTGAATGGTTGTACGGTTGAAACGGGTAGTTAGCAACACGTCCATGTGTGGCAAGGTTTTTGCCTCTATGAACCCAGGTGGTTATCCATCCATGAACTATTGGCAGCGGCCGGTACTTATTCTCAGATCACGTAGTGTGATTGCCACGCCAAGCCACCGTCATATTTATTACATTGTAAAATTTTAAACCAACCATGAATTGGCATTGACTTTTTGTTTTTAATTTAGACTTGGATCAATGACTAGTTTGGACTCAAGTTCACAGGCGTCAGATTCGAGGCCATCAACGCCACCACCGAGTTTGTCTGAAGTTTCATCACAAATAAAACGAGAAAATCATGAAGATGTTCTTACTCTTAATCAAATGAAGTCTAAGAAGTATAAAACTGATAATAATTAAAATATCTATATAATTTTACATTTTACACTTATAACATTTATTGACCGTTCATTATAATAATTTTGAAAATTTAGGCTTTTTATGTATCATATTTAATTCTAAAAAGTTTATTTCTCTAAAATTATTTCCATTTTTTTTTTATTTTTCTATCCAGTAAAAACTAAAAATGTGTTAAAATAGTGTTTTTATTAATAGATACCAGTATTTTGTTTTATTTTGATTACTATATATTTAATTAAAAATATTAGTTAATTCATTTGGATATATATATATGACTATCTAGGTACGTGTATATAATTTTTTTTTCTATTTTTGTAACAATATTCGTATTGAATCAGTTTAAAAATTATATGCTATGTCTACTGTTTTCATTGATTATAACCTTTTTTAAACAATTGAAGGGTTTCATAACATAATATTTTGTACCAATTTGTAACAATTTTGAATTTATAATGTATATTTATTACTTTAATTATATTACTATAGATGTATTAAGAATTAAATCTTCAATATATTTACATTACATCTATAATTTATGTATTTTAATTTTTCTATTCGAGTGGCATAGATCTATGACATGTCATGAAAAGTATATAATTATATTCTAATAATTATATATCTATTATTATACAATTAAAATATTGTATACATAGACATTGTTTAATACACACAAATTCTGAAATTCCTAAATTTATTAAGTTTTATATTTGTTGATAATGAAGAACTGAACTTTTCTATGTTACAATTAATATTGCTGAAGTGTCGATTATGCTGAGCGAATTTACTCGCCAGTCGATGGCGAAAAAATTCGAGCTTGTAGTGACCTGTCCAATTACTTTGAGCGATTAAATTCGCTTGTTCGCTACCTGTCACTACTTGATGGCACACTAGCGATTTTACTTGCTGGAGTGTAAAAACTCTAGTAATTAGCGACTAAAGTAGCCCAGCCGTCCACTTTAATCTCGGGCAAGCCGCGTATATTTGATACGCGGCAAGTCAGCGACTAGACCAATTACATTGAGCGAGTTAATTGGCGCTTATACATACAGTAATTAAAGATCTTAAGAGGATGTTACACAGCCATTTGTTGTCTTCGTCTTAAGAGTGCATAACATAGCAAATGTATGCCTAGGAGGACATGTTTAGCTCAGTTAGTTATAAATAAGAGTGAATCGATCTATTATGAAACTTGGTGGTGGTGTCTGTATTTTAATGTAGGCTTTTACAATAGTTCAATTTTTAGTAAGTTATGAGTATATAATATAGCTTAAATTAAAATGCTCATAACTCAATTAACCAAATTATCGTAAAAAAAAACCCACATACAAACACAGATATTGTTCTTACCATCAAGTTTCATAATAAATCAATTCACACTAGTATTTGAACTAACCGAATTAAAAGTGATCTGTTGAGCATAAATTTTCTATGTTATGCACTTGTAAGATGGAGACAGCAAATATCTGTGCAATGTCCTCTTAAAACAAATTCTAACATAATATTTCAAATAGTTTTTTATATTAGCGTGGTATAGTTTTGTTCAACCTTCAATGTATGGAATATACACATTAAGTCTATGTTGGCCGCTAACTTGAGGATGTAACTTTACTACATGGTGTCCATACTCCGTAGAGATAATTGAATTGGTGGAGCATCGAGGTTCCTTCTAAATGCGAATGAAGTATAATTGTATAGCTGAAATAGTGGATAAGATTAATCTATCAATGAATAAACATAAAAAATATAACAATTACTTTATATTTCAGATAAGTTTCTTATTAGTCTTATGTTAAATTAAATATTTCAGTCTGTGTATTCAATAAAATTAAAAATATACAATTTTAAAAAATAAAACAGTTACAACTATTACAAAGTAGAATTTTATCTTTAACCTTGTCATAGTTTGTGGATTGCAATAAGATTCAAACAAAACATAATATTATTTATTAACATAACATTATAATAAAATATTCTTATCATGTAGTGCACTTAACAACAAGTCAAACTTTTTATTTAATGTTTCAACGTTATTCTCAATTGTATTAATTTGAGCAGTCATACTTTGAAGTTTGTCTTCTACTTTTTTTTCGAATTGTTTGAAACTAATCGACATGAATTGATTGCCCTCCGTTTCACTATTAGGAAATTTAGAATTTTTCATATTATTGAAAATCGACATTAAAATATCATTATTAGTTGATTTTGATTCTTTCAGACTTAACATAGAAAATAGTTTTAAAGCATTTAAGTCTAATGGTTTTGACTCCAACAAATTTTGAACGTTCTGCATATTTATAGGGCCCAAGAATTTATTAGGATGGTCTTTCATATCGGTTAAATAAATAATTATGCCAAAAATCCAAACAAAATCTGAATTATTATATTGTTTCAACTTTAAAGCACACTCTGTACTATTAATGGGTATAAAATGAGAGTACATTTTAACTCCATCACTTAAATCATTGTGACCTAAAGACTGATGTATAGACACATATTCTCCCGTCTTCCCAAACAGTTCTATGATTCGTGCCTGGAAAACAAAAAAACAAATTGTTTTCACTTAAGTCTCAAACATATTTATAATGTAAAATGACACAGTAATACCTCAGAACACACAACTATTGTATTGATTACATGCATCGAATCGCAATTGATGTTTATGAAAAAGTCGTTTAAATGTTCAGGTTTTTCGAAATTCACACCCTTGCAATCAAATTCTGTTATTAATTGCAGGACATCACTGCAACAGTAATCATAGTAAATAATAGTTATTGATTGCATTGTAAAGGGAACTATATTACAGTTTGTTGGCATCAGTTTCGGACTGCTTTGGACTGGAAACAACACAGTCCTCGATGTCCATTCCACAAACGTTTGACTGCCAGTCACACTTAACTTTTACAATGTTTGTATGATGCATAGTGAAATTCGCAGGTTCGCTTGTCATCTCAATTCTCGAGTCAACAATGTCGACTAGACTAGGAACTACAAATCTTCAAAATTAAACATTTATTTTTATACTGTAAACTGTTAAACCTTAATATACTGTAATACTATTTTGTTAGTGAATAGTGCTTATTGTTTACTTACAAGATATTTAGATAGTTATTACCAAATATTATATTATTTGTTATTGCTTAATTCATAAATCATAGTTAAACCATTGAACTATAATAATATACTACCTATAGTCTATAATGGAATTCGTACTGTTAGTTTTTACTTGTTTAATGTATTCGTGATCATGAAAAATGATTAATATTTATAATTTATATATATAATAATTTAATAATAATATTATGAACACAATATTTATTAATATGATTTATTTTTTTATATATGAATTATTATTATAATATTATTATATTTGTGATGTGATTTTGATAAACGAACATTCATGGATGAAGTTTACAATTCATTTTTTTTACCATGACAATGACTTACCTCAATCTTCAAAAAAAAACGGAACTACAGAAAATAGAACTCGAAAATTTAAAATAGTTTATCGGTAGACGGTAATTATCATAGAAAAGAGATTATAATATGTAACGTAAATCGTAATTGATTTCTCATAAAAATCGCTGTATTTCTAGGGATGGCAACGATATATCGATATTTTCGATGTATCGATAACTTCATCCGATATATCGATATTTTTATATCGCTCGAGGACTTCGATAAATATTCACTTATCGATAAAATTTCGCGATATAACTGATATATCGCAGTTGCTCCGTTGCTCGCAGTTATCGATAGTCAACGGATAAAATCTCGATATATCGCAGTTGCTGCGATTTTTGACATCCCTACCGGGATTTTCATTACTTTTGAGTAATGTAAAATATTATACGGGTGAAGTGAACATCTTCTCAACATTGTGCCGTTAAGGACAGTGAGTTCTATAGTAGAGTAACTATAAAGGTTATTGACATTTTGAAGTTTGGTAACACCATTGTTCTGTGGTAACACCAAGTAACACTTGGATTTATGCTTATCAGTAGTGACGTCACGACTCGCAGAGTTTTGCTCATTTATTGAAATTCGACTTTAGCATATCACAAGGTTATTAAAGTCTCATTTCAATTCACCTTCAGTTATTCGTTAGAATACTTCAATATTTCCAAACTTCCGATTTTCATACGAAAGACGATGGCCAAGTACAAGGTAGTGATGGTCAGACATGGTGAAAGTGAATGGAACCAAAAGAACTTGTTTTGCGGATGGTACGATGCTTCGTTGAGCCCTAAAGGTTTGTAGTTTCATATTTTTCATAGACTATTGTGCATATAATTTGCATTTTGTATTATTAAATGAATCAGTTCTTCAAATCAGATTTTTAGTAGTATTGTCGATTTTATATGTTCTATTAATTCAATTTTAATAAGGGCATGTGCAATTCATTTTTGTTGAATAGGTGAAGAGGAAGCAGCAAACGCCGGTAAAGCATTGAAACAAGGCAACTACAAATTTGACCTGGCCCATACATCTGTGTTGAAGAGGGCACAAAACACTCTGGGGTCAATATTGAAAGAACTTGGCCAAGAAGACATTCCGATATCAAAAACTTGGCGTTTGAATGAAAGACACTATGGTGGCCTTACTGGATTGAACAAATCTGAAACTGCAGCCAAATATGGCGAAGAACAGGTAATAATCACATGTATTTAAGTTATTCATTATTTTGATATTACATTGTTCATACATTTAACTAGCATATCTAATTCTAGTATTAATTGTTTAATATTATGTTTTCAGGTTCAAATATGGAGACGTAGTTTTGACACTCCCCCACCGGCCATGGATACCGACCATGCATACTATGATCAAATCGTAAATGACCCTCGCTACAAAGATGAACCTTTAAAGGAAGAGTTTCCTATGTTTGAATCATTGAAATTGACAATTCAAAGGACATTGCCCTATTGGAATGATGTTATTATTCCCCAGTTAAAAGAAGGAAAACAAATATTGATAGCGGCTCATGGAAACAGTCTTAGAGGAATAGTCAAACATTTGGACAGTAAGTTTTCTATTAAATTCTTAAAATTTTAAATTATGTGTCATCAGTTTTAATATTTGGGTTATGGTAAGAAATTATAAAAAAAAAAATATAATTTTTTATATAATGTATATTTTTCAGATTTGACAGAAGACCAAATCATGTGTCTTAATTTACCAACTGGTATACCATTTGAATATGAATTAGATGAAAACTTTAAACCTGTGGTTTCAATGAAGTTTTTGGGTGATGAAGAGACTGTCAAAAAAGCAATCGAAGCTGTTGCTGCCCAAGGCAAAGCAAAATAATTGTCGAAAAAGATCAAACTGAAATTAACTAAAAAATAATTTAAATACTTATTAGTAGCATTATATTTATTTAAATATATTCTTTATGTCTGATGTTATTAAATTATTTATCAAAATATTAGGCAACTATAAAAACTTTTTAAAAGCTACTTAGTGATAGTATACATATTGTTTACAGTGTTAAAATGTTGAAGTATCATAAATTAAAATTTAGTGAGTCTTGAATGTAATATGATTACCTTAAGGTATTTAACTGTTTTGGAATTTAGAATTTAACTATCACATTGATTCCTGTTAATCCTATTACATGTTGCATTTGTTCCTTGTTTACATTGTTTACTTGTTAACATTATGGTGTATAAATGTGCTTTGACTTCATTTCTTGAGTTTTACCTTAACAATAATTATTGTAAATCCAAAAGAAATTCTAACAATTTTAATGTTACACAATTGTAAGCAATCCAATTTTTTTAACCAACTTATCAGTTTCTGTAAATTTGTTATTAATTTTAAATAATAAATGGGCTTCAATCATTGGCAGTGGTGGATTTTCAAAATTCTTTATGGGGTGGAGGGGCCAGTCCTATTTCAGTATAATATTTGAGATATGAATAACCTTGCTTAATAGTGTATATAACAAATATAAATATTATGGGAGGCGGGGGGAATCAAGTTCCAAACTGGTAATTCACAGACTGCAGTCCTCTGTACAGGTTATAAATGTCTCATTTCACAATTTTTTTTTATAAGCATTTAAAGTTCGAATTTTGACAAAATTTATCAAATTTAAAATTGAATGATTATTTTTTAGTTAAAAATTTATAAAATGTTCAACTTTTATATCTAAGGATTGAAAATTTAAAACAAGATTCCACGTAAGTAGTTAATTCTGTTACCAAAATATCTAAAAAATACATAAGCACAGTTTATTTTTATAGTAATTTTAAGTTCAAATTTGTATGAAATTACATAAAAAAAACATTGAATAACTATTTTAGTTATTTCGTTGTGATTGTATAATATTATTCGTGGGTACCTACTTGAAATTTCTAAAATACACTAATATATATATATGATAGTATCAGGGTTTGTTGTTGATGTATAACGCGTTATAAGTACCTAATGGATATTGTGATATGATTAATTTGGAATTTATTATAGGTAGGTACCTATAATAGGTCAATTTTTTTTAATACCATACATTAGTATATAATATGCCTTATACCTAGACTGACATACCATCTTCGCTCAGAATCGTTTTTCTTATACAATGATATTATATCATTTAATTCAAATTTAATATCATCCATTATACAGTGACCTACTTGTAACCTACTGTACAGCAGAGCACCTTTTTCATCTTCCTTTGAAAAAATATATTAGGAGCCTTCAATTAAATGTTCAAGAGTTTTTACCCAACAAATAGAATTTTATTGATGTTTATAGAAAAAAAAATAAAATTTAAACTGAAAATGTCCGAAAACAGCTCAAAATAAAACTTGAAAATGTTATGGTTCATAAAAAATTCTAATATAGACATTCAGTAAAAATTTGATGTATTTACGGTCATTTGTTTTAGAATTATAAAAAAAAACTAAAGTCGATTTGTCAAAAACCTATTAGGCGTAAAAATTCCTGTTTTTTCTTAATTTTCTTTTGAAAACTATTGGAAATTTTAAATTTTGACCTCCCGAATGCACTAACTTAATTCACCTTCCCGTCGAACAAGATACTGTTTGTTGGGAAAAAAGGTAGATGCAAAAAAACATAACTGTCTCGGCGACATAACCCGACTAGGCCTGACAATGCAATAATTCACATTTTCCTAAATTGGAGGTTAGTTTTTAAATGTGATAAGTGCAGTGGACTGTATTTTAAATTGATTACATGATAATGATAACATTCTTGCTAAACATACCGGCCCCCTTGAGAGGTATTCTCAAAAGGAAGTGGAATAAATAAATAAATAATTTAAACATTGTAAAAATGGCATAATGGGTAAGTTACAGATAGATTTCAACAGAGTATAAACTATAGTATCATAACAATATAAAATTCACATAAGGTGACACAAAATTTCTTGATTAATAACAAAACAAATAATTGAATAATTGAATTAATTGGCTTTAACCAGTTAACTAATGTTCGATAGGCAGTCTTATGAGTTTATTAATAGGACGCTTTAGCACCGAATCCTTTGTCTTCAGTGTGACAACTCGCACGAAGTGGTCTGCAGGATTGGGGTGCACCTCGAGGATTCTGGCTAGGGGCCACTGAGTGGGAGCCATATTTTCTTTCTTGAGGAGAACGAGATCGTGGACTTGGAGGTTAGGCTGGGGAGTGGTCCATTTATTCCGTTGCTGTAGTGTAGCCAAATAATCTTGCGACCATTGTTTCCAGAAGGACTGCTGCATTTTCTGTATTCTATTCCACCTGGTGAGTCGATTGGTGGGTGTTAGCTCAGGAATGTCGACTTCAGGTAATGACATAGGAGCTTTACCTAACAGGAAGTGCCCGGGAGTCAGTGCTGAGTAATCGGTGGCTTCCATACTGGCGGGGCAAAGTGGTCGAGAGTTAAGTTGCGCTTCGACTTGACAAAACAATGTGTGTAATTCTTCATATATAAAGACACTATTTAGAGTTATGCGTTGGAGTATGCGTTTACAAGATTTGATGTTAGCTTCCCAAATACCACCAAAATGTGGCGAAGCTGGTGGGATAAAGTGCCAGTCTATCTCTCTGGGCAAACAGAAAGTATTCAGGGCTGAGTTCAATTGTTGAGAGCACAGCAATTTATACACTTCATGTAGTTTATGATGTGTACTAGTAAAATTCGTACCATTATCACTGTACATTTTAGTTGGATAGCCTCGTCTGGCAACAAAACGTTTCAGTGTGGCGATGAAGGTATCGGCTGACAAGTCACTCACTATTTCTAGGTGTACAGCCTTGGTGGTCAGGCAAATGAAGAGAGCTAAATATGTTTTGTACACAATTCTTGAACGTCCAACTGAGGGCTTAGTACTGAAAGGTCCGGCAAAATCAACTCCACAATGGCTGAACACTGGTGCGTAATTAACTCTAAAGGCCGGTAAGTCAGCCATGAGTTGGTGGGTTTTGACTTGTCGAAATCTGTAACACTTAACACAATCATGAAGAACCTTTCTGATGATGCTGCGCCCATGTACAACCCAATACTTCTGCCGCACCAGAGACATAGTGACATTGAGACCAGCATGCTGGTGCAGAAGGTGGATGGAGCGTACTACCATAGTTGTATACAGATGTGCCTTTGGTAAAAGAACTGGATGCCTCATGTCATAAGGTAAACTAGACTGAGTGAGTCGACCACCAACGCGTAAGACCCCTGCTATGTCAAGGAAGGGGTTTAGGCTGACCAGAGTACTGGATGACTTGACGGGGAGACCCAGTCGCAGCTGATGAAGGTCGAGTGGAAAGCATTCCTGTTGTACTAACCGGATCCATTTTAAGTTGGCTGATCGCCATTCACACACAGTTGGTAATCCAGTTAGACGAAGAGCTACAGGTTTTTGGCAGTTGTGATAGAAACGTAAAATGTAACAAGTGACATGCAATAACTTACTCAAATCCGAGTACTTAGCTAGCAAGTTGGAGTTAAACGCGTCAGCTTCTGTGGTCACATGTGTAGTTACCTGTGGCTTACGTTCCTCTTGGAGAGTTTGATTTGGATCCTCACATTCAAACGTAGACTGTGGCCATGGATTGGGGGGTAATAGCCATTGTGGACCATGCCACCACAAGGCATTTGTAATAAGTTGATCACCTGACAGGCCCCTGGAGGCCAGGTCCGCAGGATTGTCCTGAGACGGGACATGCCGCCACACCGCTGAGGGACACCAGGTTTGAATTTGACTCACTCGATTGGATAGAAAGGTAGTCCACCGGTGTGGATCACTCTGAATCCACTGTAGAGTGATTGTAGAATCCGTCCACAAGTTGACTGATTCTATGTTGATTGTAGACAGTGCCTCTAATAGGTGTTTGGTCAAGGATGCTAACAACGTGGCACCACACAACTCAAGCCTGGGTATTGATTGGGTCTTAAGAGGTGCAACTCTGGTCTTAGACAGAACTAAATGTGATGATGATTTACCGTCAGGAAACACTGACACTAGGTAGAGAGCAGCAGCATAAGCTTGTTCCGAACTGTCACTGTAACCGTGTAGACTATATGTGGTTACCTGAGTGTGTTCGTCATTGCAATGCCGTGGTAATTCAAAGAAGCGAAGAGCACCGTAGGAAGATCGATGATCCGACCACCATTTGATCAGTGTGTCAGGCAGCGGGTCGTCCCAATCCAACTTGTTCTTCCACAGGTGTTGCATAATGATCTTCGCAACGATCACAAGTGGGCTTAACCATCCACACGGATCAAAAATCCTCGCGATTTCCGAAAGTAATGAGCGTTTAGTACATGTTTCACCAACCTTGGAAGATTCAACATGAAATGAGAACGTATCGCGTTGAGCATTCCATGATATACCCAATATTTTGATTGACGGATCCATGTGGTCGATCAGCGTTAGTTGAGTGGCTCTTAGTGCTGTCGGAATGTGCGTTAAAACTGCTTCACAGTTGGTGGCCCACTTACGTAGTTCAAACCCACCTCGGGCGAGCAAGTGTAGTAGCTCCTGGTGTAGCTTGATTGTGGCAGTAATGTCATCTCGTCCGGTCATTACCTCATCCACATAGAAATCTCGCTGTAGCACCGCAGCTGCCTCAGGATGAGTCCCTTGCTCGTCGTAGGCCAATTGCTTCAGGACTCGTAAAGCATGGTATGGTGATGTGATAAGCCCATACGTCACCGTATTTAAGGTATAACTTCTTATTGGACTAGATTCATTTGGACGCCAGACAATACCTTGGTAGACACGATCGTCGGGGTGTACTAAGATTTGTCGGAACATTTGTCGAATGTCTGCGGTAATAACATAGCGAGGTAGACGGAAACGGATTAA